AGGAGGCTGCATTTCTGACTTCTTGATAGCCAGTATGGTAAGACAGAAGTTTACTTTTGTTGCTAGATTGGTATATCTCATGGAAGAATAACCACCAGTTTTGGGGTGTGTCTGCCCTTTTCTCCAGCAACTTGTCCTGAATTTGATATTCTCACTTGTGACCCACGGAGGCAAGGTGACAATCTCTTCTTCACATGACAACCTGCTCTGAACCTTTCGGATGAAAGAATGGACCAAACAAAAGATACAGACATTGACTCGGACATGAGGTACCACTACTACACTTTCAACTCTGTAACTTGTGTTTCCATAACCTACAGTAGCTCTTATTCCTGTGACAATGCCAAGTGACTTAGGAGCCTAAGTCCCATTTTCAACAGTGGCTTAGGCATTCAGAAGCTTAAGTCTCATTGAAGAAAATCAATGGGACTTAGGTGCCTTTGAAAATTTTACACAGCATCTATAAGCATAAGTATTATTTTCTTTACTTTTATCCTTTTTCTTATTTAAAGAAAAAAGCAGTACGTTGTTTAATTTGCAACTATAACTTGAATTTGACTATTATTGGTGGAATGAGTACTATCTGCCCATATTGACCCAGTGGTGCCAAAGTAAAAAGGGAGGGCTTGGAAGGGGCTGAAATGCCTGTCCTGGAAGTGCCATGCTGCATAGAGGAAATCTTTTTACTTTAGGATCGAGGACACATAGATGTGTTATATTGATGTCTAACAGCATCCTCTGCTCTGCGCACATTACCTAAGACTGCACACACTGTCTAAAACTGGTCAGCTGCAAAGTCATTTCTGCATCATGAGGTCTAGACATTTTGTTTTGCTGTTAGGCAGGCTCAAGAAAGGGAGACTAGCCTAATAGCTTGAACACAGGACTGACAGATAATCTCTGGATTCCATTACCAACTCTGTCATATGCAGTATGACACCTAGGGAGCAGGGGGAGTGAAAGGGGAGGAATCCCTCTCAGTATGTGAAATTACTCCTTCCTTAGGAGACAAGGTTGTTATGAGGTTTCTTTCATTCGTTCAGTAATTTTTGTGAAGTGCTTTGAGATCCTTGGACAGAAAACACTACAGAAGTGACTAGAATTAAGATTATAGCAAATTTTAAATTAATAAAAACTTTGACAAAAAAGTTTGTTGTGAAGTACTTGACAGCACTTAACCTTTTCTGTAAGACAATGAAAAACTATCCTATATTAAAAAAACCAATAGTAATATTTCTCAAAGCTTAAAAGGTAAATATGGGTTTCTGATACTTCAGATGAAACACGCCAGTCATAGAACTAAGGTCTTTTCCAGCCCTATTAGATCATCCCTCCCATCTTCCTGTGAGTACTGGATTGGCTATTCTTGAGTTACTGAGAAATGAGGTGATTGCAAAATTATATGCAGGCACTCACACTAAGTTTCAGCACTCCAGTGATTCAGATTTCTATTTTTAGCTAGTAGCAAAATGGAAGTAGTGAGGTTTTCCTCCTAGCTACTGTTTTTAGAATTACATTCACAATAACCAGGAAAAATAACTAATAAGGGCTAGTTTACACTGGCAACACTAGTCTATGTGGCAGCGCTTTAACGTGGCTGGTGTGGTCACGGCAGAGCGCTGGGAGACAGCTCTCTCAGCGCTCTTAAAAAACAAAACAAAAAAAACATACACCTCCATGAGGGGCGTAACTCCTAGCGCTGGTGCACTGTCTACACTGGCACTTTACTATGCTGAAACTTGCTGCGCTCAGGGGGATGTTTTTGCACACCCGAGTGAGAAAGTTGCAGCACTGTGAGTGGTCAGTGTAGACAAGCCCTAAGATAAGTACTTTTGTATCCTAAATGCTATCAGGTATCATACTGGTTAGGCTATTTTTAAAATGTACATATATACCATTTATAACGAGAAAGCGTTACAGTAGCTTGCAAACAGAACCTCCCTCACTTTTTTTGCCTATATAACTAGGGAACTGTTTAAGTTGCCAGTTTATTTAGAAAAAGTACCTAACAATGCAGCTAAGGTAAGCTCCTCAGCTCAGGGACTATCTTCCTAAGAGTCTGTACAACTCCTTTGTACATTTTGGGATGCTACCATAATTAAATAAAGCTCAGCATCAGGGGTGTCATTTCAGACAAATTCAAGAGGTGGGGGAAAAAGTTGCATCAGCATATACAATATTCTTTGTCCCAATTGGCATCATCAAGAATAACTACAGTACTAGGCAATTATTTCTTTCCTAATGACAGCATTCAAAGTTGGGGGAGGCTAAACCGCCCCCTCTTGTCCCATAGCAAATGACACCCCTGTTTGGCATACACTTCATTCTGAAAACAATGGGAGTCACAGCACCAACAAATTTATTCTAAACTGAGGACCTGATGCTGCAATGGGCAAAACCTTGTAGCACTCACAAATGGGTGCAAGCTTAAGATGGGTTTCAGAGTAGCAGCTGTGTTTGTCTGTATTCGCAAAAAGAAAAGGAGTACTTGTGGCACCTTAGAGACTAACAAATGTATTTGAGCATAAGCTTTCGTGAGCTACAGCTCACTGCATCCGATGAAGTGATTGAAGATTCGAAACTTAGTAGTCACACTTCGAAACACAGAGCTAATCTCCGATGTTTGAATACACAGATTGAAACTGTGGACCCAAAATCCAAGTTGCCCACACTTACCACTATTTCAAATGTGAGATAAGATGACAGGGGAGGTATTAAGATCAATTTAGGTTTTTTTTCCAGCCAACGTGGTAGCTCAAACACCTCAAAGGTGCAGCTTCATTAAAAAACAAAAAAACCACACACACACACACACCACACTGCTTACAAAGACAGTGAAACATTATATGTGTCACGGAACAATTCACATTCATTCTCACTTATTAAAAAAATTAAATCAGCTTTATTTGCTATGGCTACAAATGGAAAAAAAGGAAATATTTAACAACTTTGTTTTAAGCTATAAGACTTATTTCCTTGCACTCTGGAAGAAAATTCTGGTACTCATCCACAAATCTTTTTCCCCCCACAACACAAGAAAAAGACACTTATTCAAAAGACTGATACTTTGTACATTGAGACAGCAAGATTAGGCATACGTGCACTGTTTCTTGGAACAGATTATGAAGGAGATTTTCAAAGGCATTAGGAGCAGCAATGCACCTAGCTGCTATTAAAAGTCAGAGAGTTAGGCACTTTACTTTCACTTGTACCTTAGAAAGTCTCCCCCAGTTTCCCTGAGAACGGAGAGCCAAGCATAGGACGTGAAGCTTTAATTAGTTTTTTTTTCCCCACCCAACGGGCTCTACATATCATTAGAACATTATTGATGTATAATGTTACATGTATACAATGTATAATTATTGATCTACTTATATTGTCAGTGTCTTTTTAAGCATGATGTAGAGTACAAAAATCAGACAGCACAACCAAATCTCCACCACTAATTTGTACAACATAAAAATGTGTTAAAGTGACACATGCTATTTGGCAAATTACTCCCCCAGTAAATCTCAGGAGAACCTCCCTTATTTTAAAACAGAAAATTAAGGCCACATAAGAAGCTGTTACAACTTAAATATCTTTCACTTCAGTGACTAGTGTTTTTAGGTGCCTAAATATAAAAAGGAATCTGATTTTCAGAAAGTGCCAAAGAACCCGCTAACTGAAAAGCGGGGGCACCCAAAAAAAAATCACTAACCACTTTTGAAAATTCTGGTCACGGACTTTGGCTCCAACACATTCTTCTCAGACTTGATGGCTGAGAGAAACACAAATGAGGGCATGGTACTGCCAACACCATATAGAAATATCTCTCTACTTTAAGGGACACAACAGCTGCATCTACACTGGTAAAACCCAGATAAATAATGCTCCAACAGGTGTAGTGAGAGTGGAAACTGTAGTGTAAACAAGATGGTAGCAAAAATGCTAGCACTTTGTCAGTGTGATAGCTTTCACTGATCTTACCATGTATAGAACTATGCACCAGATTTTTCCTAGTATATAAAAAGCCAGAAAGCATCTCTAAACATGATTATTGCAGAAGCCACATTATGAATTGGTCCCAATTCTGACATTTCATTTCCCTAACAGCACTTAAGCTAAAAGAGTTAACCACAATCACACTCCAAAACACAAACCACTTCCCAAACCTGCTTTAGGATTTGAAGATTTACAGCTGTGGTGCCCCAGAATAAAGCCACACAGGCCCTGAATTTAGTCAGAGGTCAAGGCAGTGCCTGGGGCCGCAGGTAAACAGCGCAGTGTCGTGTCACCAAGGCGGCAAGGAGGACATGCTGCCACACACAGGCTGCCCTGGAGAGGCATTTCAGCCCCACTCCAACCCGCAACAGGTCACACTCCCCTTTGCCTCATGGTGAGCCCCACTCCCTCACCAGCCGGGGGGCTAGTCTGTGTTATCCCAAAACTTTTGTTTGATTGGAAAAAAAATTGGAGAAGGGAATAAAGGGAAGGTTTGAGGACAAAAGGATGGAATATCTCCCCATTACGACACCCTCCCCCCGCCACCCCCCCAGCCACCCCACCACCCCCACCCCCCGCCACCCCCACCCCCACCACCCCCCGCCACCGCGGCCCCCGCCACCCCCACACTCCCAGCCAGGCCCCGCCACCGCGGCCCCCGCCACCCCCCCCCCCCCCCCCCCCCCCCCCCCCCCCGCGGCCCCCGCCACCCCCACACTCCCAGCCACCCCACCCCCCCGCCACCCCCACACTCCCAGCCAGGCCCCGCCACCGCGGCCCCCGCCACCCCCACACTCCCAGCCAGGCCCCGCCACCCCCCCCCCCCCCCCCCCCCCCCCCCCCCCCCCCGCCACCGCGGCCCCCGCCACCCCCCCTCCCACCCCCCCCCCGCCACCCCCACACTCCCAGCCAGGCCCCGCCACCCCCAGACAAACCCCACCGGAACCCCATCTACTCCCAAGCTGCCCCCACAGCCGTTTCCCCTGATTCGGCCGCAGCTCCCCGCTCCCCCTCACCGTGGTCCTGGTTGAAGCCGGCGTACAGCAGCCCGTTGCCGTGCGGGTTGGCCGGCAGCAGGTTCATGGCTACTGCCGGATGCGGAGCTGGCCCGAGGCCTTTAAACCATCGCGGCCGCAGACGGACTGAGCCCGGACGCCGACACTCCCCGCGGCCAGCGGGCAGGCGCAGGGACAGAGGCAGGCCAGCGGCTGCTTCCGACCCCGTCAGGCCGCGCGCCGAGCCAGATACCATCCACCCGCCAGGCCGGGGAGCGCCGAGCAATCGAACCGCCGCCCGCGGAGGCTCACCCCCCGCGACGGGTATGTGGGATCCACTGCCCCCTCCCGGGGTAGGGTGACCCGGGGCTGGCATGGGGGATCCAATGCCCACCCCCGGGGCTGGAACGGGGGAGCCGCTGCTGCCGTCCCGCGGCTGTCATGGGGGATCTACTCCCCTTCCCTCCGGGACTGGCCTGGGGAGTCTTCTACCCCCTGAGGAATCTCCCCTCACAACCGAGAGGGAAGCTCTGATTTAGTTGGGGTGGGTCCTGCTTTGAGCAGGGGGTTGGGCTAGATGACCTCCTGAGGTCTCCTCTTCCAACCCTAATCTTCTATGATTCCCTCTGGGGCTGCTTTGAGGGAGGCCCACATATGGGGCTGGCGAAGGTGGAGCCTGGCTCTGGGTATGCATTGAGGACCTAGAAGTCCACTGTGTAGCACCCATGCAAGCTGGGCTAAGGCAGGAATTTTCTGTTTCTGTTGTGTTATTCTCAGTGCTCGCCAGCTCAACACATTTCAGTGGAGTACAAAGGGGTGCCCGGCCTTTTCTCCCCTCATGTCCCTGATTACACCATTCAAATGGTGGCAGGTATGGAACATCCCCATCTCTCCCTGGGTATTGCTACAGCTCTCCAACATGCTGTGCCCCATCTCAATCCAAACTCTGCCCCGGATACCGATATATCATCACCCATCTTGATCTGAACAATGGCTGTATCTTAACACAGGTTTGTGTGTGCAATACCCCGTTGTGATCTGAGTGCCACCGCCTGGCCGGTCATAACTAAATGCACAGTGGTCACTTGAACTTTCTGCCAAATAAATCACGCTCTTCGTAGCCTTCTATGTAGCCACAGGGACACCAAAACTTTTCATATGAGAGCCATGTTAGCAGTTTGGATGGAAGCCTCAAGGGTTACCTTTAATTTATATGAAATGGAGCAGATTGCTGCAGCTAAACTCATCTTTAATAAAGAGATCCAGCCCACAGAGGCTGCAGGTTGTGACACTGCCTCCCTTCGCTCAAGAAAAAATGTCACATTCAGGGACCTATAATCTCTGTGGACCTCACTACTACTGATTTTTCTCAAAAAGAAAAGGAGGACTTGTGGCACCTTAGAGAATAACCAATTTATTTGAGCATGAGCTTTCGTGAGCTACAGCTCACTTCATCCATGATTTTTCTATTTAGGTTACAACCTATAGACCCCATTCAGGATAGGGATCCCACAGTGCTGGACAATGTACAAACATAAAAAGACACAATCCTTGCCTCAGAGAGTTTGTAATCTAGTTTAAGACAAGGTGCAACAAGGAAATATAACAACCAATAGGAGGGAAAGGGGATGAGGATGGGAAAACAAAAAGACAAAACACTAACAGTCTAACACTGTTCTAACCACTTTCAGCCAATCACTGCCTATTTCAATTTTATTATTATTCTTTTGTAACCACTGCCTGGCTTTTTGTTATTGTTATTAGCTATTACTATTGAGTTTTTGTGTGTGTATTACAGAGGATGCAAGCTACCTGTCTGCTGCTGAAATAGCTACAGCTGAGGATGTTCAGGGCAATACATTTAAAAAGAGGAAGAAGGGAAAACACTGTTTTGCTTGGCTGATCTCAGTATATTTATTATTCCATACCCCCCCAAAAAAAAAATGAAAATACTGTTACTAAGTAAGGCCCTGATCCTTCAATGACTTTTGCACATGCTTAATGTTATGCACTGAATATTCCCAAAACAAAGCCACTGTGTGTAAAATGGGACTGCTCACAGTCCATAACATTAAGCATGTACCTGAGTCTTTGAAGAGTCAAGGCCTGAGACTATAAAGTCAAGCTCTCAAAAGTTAGACAATGCCAGAATCAAAGTGGCATGGGCATGTGGTCTCCTTGTGTAGTCTTACACTTACATGCTCATGTACTAATTTTTCCACAGGGACTCAGCCTCATTCAGCAGTCAGGATGAACAGTACTTACTGAATGAGTGGCCACGCAAGATTTATTTTTATCTTTGTCATGCACTGTGAGGGCCCAGGCCTTATTGATTACACTCTAAATTCTGCCAGTTGGCTGCAGCCACAAAGGACCATTATACTAGTTGGGGATCACCTGAGCACAGGGACATTCTGTCCACATACTCTTTTTCTCAACAATGTCCCATACACAGGAGTTCTTAGCTGGCCAAATCCACTGGCTTTATGATTCCTTTGTACTGACAGAGAGGCAGAGTAGAAATCTGACCCTGAGGACCCATATTTAATTTTATACACTCCTATTTGTATCTTTTCTTGCTATGCCATATCAGCCCCCTTGCTGTGTAATGTATGCACTCTGCAGTACCAGGGAAGCCTTTACCAGGAACATGAGAAGTGAGATGAATTTTCATCCCTCTTATCGAGAGGCTTTGGCTACCATTTGCCCAAGAGGTCCACATTTAGGGAGTGCCTTTTGGACCCCCAGCTTCCCATGATATCCCAAAAAGAACTTTTTATCATCTGTGACCCTTCCTTTACAATGTGCTCTATGGTAGGCCTCTCCTTACAGACCATTCTAGAGCTACTAATGCAGAATCGGACTGCTTACAGGTTTGGTGGTGGTAGATACAGAAAATCTATTACACCATTTCTCTAAAAACTGCACTGACTACCTGTTCATTTTCAAGTGCAATTCAGGATGCCTGCTTTGATCTTCAACATCCTGTGTGGTTTGAGCCCTGTCTCTTTGGGAGGCTCTCTCTCCCCCTGTGTATTGCCATTGTTGAGATCTCCTAAGGAAAAGATGTTCTCGGTGGATGGCCCCCAACCACCGTATCCTCTTCCCTCCACCCAGCAACTACTCAAACTGTCTGTTAGTGTTTATGGCCTGGTGTAAGGTCTATCAGCCTCATGTTTGTCTCTGGGGTAGGATGAAGTTGGATAAGTGGGTGTGTAATGTAATTTGAGAGGTTAGGTAAAAGTCTTTTGTTTTTAAGAGTTATCTATGTTAAATATCATACAGGCACCCGGCAAAGTTGAATTGGTTGCATTTTATACATTTTTGAATAAGCATGCACTGTGAAGCAAAGAACCTCTCTCTGCCTACTAGCCAGCACACCCTGTCTCCTTGAAATTACAGTTGGGAGGTGGAACAATAGCGAAATCCTCTCCTTAAGCGCTCTAGCTTTGCAGAGGGAAAGAGACACACACAAGAAGACACACCTCATACAGCTAAGGCTATTGAATGTCCTGGAAACACCCTTTCTTTGGAACACCCTTTCTTTGGAATAATTAAGACAAGTATAAAGTTTGCCACAGAACAAAAACTGAACTTTGCTCTTTTGTGGCTAATTTTCTCTTTGGCATCCAACTGCAGACACACCCTTGAGCAAGTCAATGTTTTTCCTCTCACCAAACAGGATCTTATCTTTCCTTTTTCTTTTTCTTTTTTTTTTTTTAAGTAAATGAAGAGTGAGCAAAAAAGTTCTCGTCACCCATGTTTTGGGAAACAATTTCTTTATAGTTGAAGGGAAAGAATTTGTATAGGACAAAAGTACGGAATTTTGTGAGATCTGAAAAAAGAAAAGGAGTACTTGTGGCAACTTAGAGACCAACCAATTTATTTGAGCATGAGCTTTCGTGAGCTACAGCTCACTTCATCAGATGCATACCGTGGAAACTGCAGCAGACTTTATATATACACAGAGAATCTGATGAAGTGAGCTGTAGCTCACGAAAGCTCATGCTCAAATAAATTGGTTGGTCTCTAAGGTGCCACAAGTACTCCTTTTCTTTTTGCGAATACAGACTAACACGGCTGTTACTCTGAAACCTGTGAGATCTGAGTTCCTCTGTCCCAGACTTGGTGCCATCTAGAGCAGGCATGTTACTTAACCTTCTTGGGACTCAGTTCCACAGTTTGTAAAATGGAGATTATAATACAACCTACCTGATAGGGTTGCAAGGCTTACTCAGGGTTTGTAAAGTGCTGAGAAATCCTTAGTGGCAGACATTAAAATATGTTATAAATAACCTGTTCCCCCCCGCCCCAGCCTCTGTGGTCTGTCATCATTTCTCATTATGTTCTCCAACAAATTCAGACTGTAAGCTTCTGGGGACAAGGAACTTTTTTAAAGGTTGTCTATAAAGTGACATGCACACTACATAATAAAAATGCCACTACATAAAATAATAATTATCTTTGATAGTTTGTGGAGGCAGGATTCTGCCATCACTAGTATTTAGCTTCCCCCCCCCATCTAATGTAATCAAAAAAGAGAATTTCTCTTTTTTTTTTTTGCCCGCCTATAGCATTTAATTGAAAATTGTATCTCCGCTATAGAGTTTTATTGAAGGGTTCAAAAAAAAAATCCACCTCAGGAAAAAGTTATTTTCTATTAAATTGTGTAGATGAAATAATTTCTACAGTATTTATCAGTTCCATCCTTATTAAATTATGTAGAACTTTTCCATAACACCATGCTCAAAGAGTATAGTTTTGGACATCTAGCGAGCAGTTTGAACCTAGTAGCAGTGAACCTATTGGAAGCAGGAATAGGTCTTAGAATGTGGATGATTGTTATTGATTTGAGACAAGACAGCCTGTTGTATTAGGTATGGAAGCTGAGAAAATTGGTTCTAGGCCCAGCACTGCCATATTTCCTTTGTGAAATTGGTCACATCAATTTGGCCAGGGATTTTCTTTTTAAATGTATCCACTACATTTGAATGATCAGTCTGAGCTACCTAGATCATGATTTTCAGAGGTGTTGAGCACCTGTGTCTTCCACTATCTTTTACTTCAGTTGCAGGTGCTCAGCATCTCTCAAAAATCAGGCATCTCAAGTTGTGGATATTTAGATTTAATGGACCCTTTGGAAAATGTGGACCTTAACCTGACTCTTTTTCTCTATCTGTAACATGAGTAAAAAATAGCGAGCTACCTCACAAGGGTATTGTGGTAGTAAAGTCAGCAGAACACTTTGAACATGTACAGCACTATTATTAAAAGCCATTCCCTTCCCTCCAACATAGAAAGGGTCATGCTTTTCACATTGTTTCTATATCAATAAGGTCAGTGCTTTTTTGCACTCTCTTGAAACAAATTTAATTGAGCCAGTAGAGCAATATTAAAAACATCTACTATATAAATATTTAAAGTATCTTTTTGATCACAAGTTGATATATACAGTTTAAGAATGCAACAGCACATATTGTTTATGTACAGTAATTAAAAACTACAATGAGAGATAAGTGATCTATTACCAATTCAGATAATGCTTTAAACTGATCCCCTGAAATAAACACACCATTAAAGATACAAGTATAAGTCAGTTGTACTGCTTACCATTTAGGGTTTGCTTAGGGCATTTGGCTTTACATATCAAATCTTATTCTGGAAAATGATCTCACAGTCCAAACTTTCCACTTCCCTCTTGGGCTTGTTTGTTTAGCCCTTATTTATTCTGAGGAGTGAGGGCAGAGATGGAAGGGGGTGCAGTGTTTCAGTATCCAACTATAAATTAATTTGGTGTTTTTAAGAGAATGAAGATTTTACACTTTTACTATTGGACCACAAGTAAAGAATGCCAACTTGAGGGAGAGTCAGAGCTAATAATAACCCAACTGATCTGCTTTGGTACTAAGAGTTCTAGCAGAACTTGCTCTGCCTTTGCAAAATGGAGACTTTGCTTCTATCCACATGCCTGCTTTGAGATGCTCTGCTTCTGGCTTCACCTGCAAGGATCATTCAGAAGTAATGATTCTCAAAAAGAAAACAAAAAAAAGAGAGGGTGGGTGATCACCCCCCAATTTAATCTTTATAACAGAGCCCCACTGTACTTGAGTGATCTTCTAACACATTTGCATCTTATGCACAACAAAAAGATTAATAAATGATAACCTACTGAGCTAGAATCCCAGTATAGCCTTGGCATTTTGTACCTGATAGACTTGCACCACTAGTGGTCTGTTGCTATGGAGATGTAGGGACATCTATGATGATTCAGAACTATTGCTACTGCAAGATGTTACCAAATTACATTTCAACAGAGGCACTTGTAAATACTGCAGGGAAGCTACCTACATACCACTCTCACCAAAGGTGCTGGAAATTGGTGTTATCACTCCTCTGCGTGTCAATGAGCCCAGGAACACGGTGCCACACCATTTCCATCACTTAGACACCTTTCCCCACAAACTGAGGATTTAACTCATACTGCTTTTCAAAATTTCTTATGCCACTTTTGAAGATTATGCTGTAAGAAGGGCATCCCCATGATCTATGAAACAGCCTCGCCATAAAAGGAGGGCAAGCCACCGACTGAAGAATAAAGAACAGGCTTTGTTTTTCCAGGAACATTTATTTTTAAATAATATTGTTCTTTCCCTATAAAGCAGCTCTTCAGTCACATTCCTCTTACTGTTGTTGCAACTATTGTCTTTGGCATTTTCTTCTTAGAACTACACTTTGTAGAACATCTGGTACAAAAAATGTAGATTTACAGAAAAATAAGAATATAAACCACAGATTAATCCCCAGAAGTATTAAATAACATAGCAAAAACTTTATCAAATCTGTTTCATACACTTAATGGACAAAAACATGTTGTGCATAATATTCTATATACACATTTGCAGCTTAGTTAAATTAGTGCTTCGAGGTTACCAAGGAAGTTGTACAAAAAATAATCATATCCACTACTTCAATAGTACTAGAATGTCTCACCATTTGTAAAGTTTCAATGTATACAATACATTGCATTTAAAAAAATCTTTGCTTGAATCTACAAACTGACACACTAATTTTTGCCTATTTGCAAATAAAGTTTGTGATAAAACAGATTTTTATCTAGTGAATTACACAAGTCACTTCCAAGATCTATTGTAATTAACAACTTAATAAAATGATAATTATTCCCTTTATAAAAAACACACATCTCAAAACACGAGCATTGTGCACAACAAAAATTCCAATCTAAAAGTCCAAAAGCAAAGTGTCACATCCACTTCTGTTGCACAGAACACATCATTCATTCCAAAGCAGCATTGTTATAGTGAGCACACTGTAAAATAAGTCTTTCCTTATTTTTGTCAATGTCATGTGATACACGGAGCATGCTCAGCTATTCAACAGGACTCCCTGTGTTCAAGGCTCCATGTGAGGAAAGTCAACCTTGTTTTTCAGCCACATCAGGTTTAGGAAATTTTACAACTGTTTCTTGTACAATTTTTTGGTGGGCTCTGTGGGGGACGGATGATTTTAGCTTTCTTTAGGCTGTTCCTTTTGTTGTTGTTGCTGGCAGTGAGTGAGTAGGAGCGTCCATGCATCATCCTGGCATTAAGGCCGTTGGCCATAGAGAAAGATTTTAGATGGCTTCGTAAGGCAACAGGGAGCGGGAGCTTGTCGACAAGATGCACAGGGGTGCATGAAACTATGGCACGGCAGCAGAGATCTTGCAGATTCAGTACTTTAAAAAACAAACAAACATATTATAATACATAGTATGCTTTTGTCAGCCATATGGTGGCAGCACACGCAGTATCATGCGTGTCCATTGTACTTTTAAAACCAATCCTCTCATTTTTCCTCTCTTTACAGTTCATTATACCCTTCCTCCAGTACTAGATACTTGCCCATAACACTAACCCGCCTTACAGAATAAAGGCCCCGTCTCACAAGCCCTACACACATGGAACTTTCATTGGCTTCAATAAGAGATCTTGCAAAATTATTCCCCTCTCCCCCAAGTTGGATAGACCAAGAGTACCATTTTCAAAAATACCTCAGTAACTTTCAGAATAGCAGTCGTGTTAGTCTGTATTCCTTTTCTCAGTAACTTAGAAGCTTAAATGCCATTTTCAAAAATTACTTTCTTTTCAGTTTCATTGAATGTCAAAGATTTTGAAAACTTTTACCCCAACTCTGCCTAACACTCATACTGAACTCTCATTGCACTGCTTTCCACTCAGCTGGAATCCCATCTGAATAGCAAGACTATTCTTTGAAGCTTTGAATCTCTCACTCTGGTACCCTTATTTCATCTAGAACTGGAGGGAATCATTCAAGCTCATAAGTAAATGTTACTGGTTAAATTATACTACAAACTCCAGCAAAAGACAACTTCAATCTATGTTTTTCAAAAAATTAAATTATCTGCATATTAATTGCTCAGAGCCAGGAAATACATTTTATTTGGATAAATCACTTGTTGGCATTTGGCAAGGAAAGAATTAATGTTGGAAGTGATTAATATTTTTACTCCCACACCCCTACCCCCCCTCAAATGCTTCCTGAGACCAGAGGTGAAAGTAAGCTGGTACGGTCTGGTACGGTGTACTGGAAAGAGCCAGTAAACCATACCGGACTGGCTTCCCCAGGTGGCGATTTAAAGGGCTTGGGGCTCCCTGCAGCATCTGGTGCTCCAGGCCCTTTAAACTGCTCCCAGAGCCGCATTGCCGGAGCCTCCAGGTAGCGGAGGCAGCCGGGAGCCCCGGGGCTCCATTGGCGATTTAAAGGGCCCGGGGCTCCGCTGCAGTAGCAGCAGCCGGGAGCCCTGGGGCCTTTAAATCACCACTGGAGACCTTGGCTACCGCCACTACGCCGGGGACACTGGCAGCAGGGCGGTAGCAGTGGCCAGAGCCCCAGGCCCTTTAAATGGCCCCCGAGCCCCGGGGCTCCCAGCCACGTCTGCAGCTGGTAGCTCCGGCGGTGATGTAAAGGGCCCAGGGCTCCCAGCTGCCCGCAGCCAGAGACTGGGGCCCTTTAAATCTCAATTTAAAGATCCCGGAGCTCTAAAGGCTCCGCCTCTTCTGGTTGAGGCCATGCCCCTTCTGGTCAAGGCTCCGCCCCCTGCTAAGGACTCCAGCATACCGGTAAGTCCTTTAAATTAGTTTCACCCCTGCCTAAGACTTAAAGCTTAGGAAAGACTGCATCTAGTACAAACTCCTAAAAACTCTACTCCCTGCTCCACAATTTTCTACAGAATACAAAAAAGTGCCATTATATGAGGCTGCCGCTACAACCCATTCATACATCTCCAGGCTTTTCTTCAGAGATTGGGATAATTTGGGATTCAGGCTCTGGTGCTCTTGTATGATTTTTGGCATGTCCGATGCCTTTTTTTAAGGCTGTGAGGAATATTCTTGTCTTACTGCTTAAGTGAATAAGGAGTGTAATACTGCACAAATCAAAATAAACCTACACCAGTTTGTTAATCTAGTTTTTGGTAGGGTACCTACTTAAGTTAGGGAAATATAAACCTTCTTCAAAGCCAGTAAGTCCTTTTAAAAAACACTTACATTTTGCTACAATTTGTACCAAAAAAACCCATCCAATTTTTATTCCAATAAAAAAACCCTATTTAGATATCCAACAATTAGGTCAACTGAGCCTATTTTCATTTAAAAAAACAGTTATTTGTACTCTATGATCCAGTTTTTCCATTAACCATTTCCATGCTTTTTATCTTGGAATCAGCTGAGGTGAGTCATCTACTAATGTACCTGTTCCAAAAATTACTTTGTTAAAGCATAAACTGTAGTAATCCTCAGACAGAGTCTGATCCTGCAAGATGCTGAGCATCCTCAATTCCCATTGACTTCAAATGGAAATAGAGGGTGCTCAGCACCTTGCAGGATCAGACCTATACAGTCTGATTGCTATTAAAAATGAATCATATAAGCCAGTGACTCAATTAAATACTTAATAGATCCAAATTAATCAGTAGATGGCTGTCACTGCACAATTATTTTCAGATGCTTTTAAAAAAAGCTTGTAACAAGAAGTTCATCATAATGAAGTAATGAGAATACAGAATTACCATACTTGATTAAACTAATGGGTCTCTCAAGTCCAGTAACATCTCAGCAACAGCTGCCACTACCAAATGCTTCTGAGTAAAATGCAAGAAACCCTCCATTAAGTAACTATGGGATTAGCGGTCTCCAAGGAACGTTTCCTCCTTACCTCCAGTAAACGGAGGCTGTCTTAAGCCCTGAAGCATGAGGGTTTATATCCCTTCCAAAACATTTTTTTAAAGTATTACTGTAACAACTATGCATATTCATATTATTCCTAAATAATCTCTTTTTGAATCTTGCTCAGCCCTTGGTCTCAGTAATATCCTGTGGCAATGGGTTTCACAGGCTAATTTTGCATTCTCTGGGGAAAATATTTCCTTTTACCAGAACTGAATCTGTCACCTTTCAGTTTATTGAATGTTCCCTTGAATTATGAAAGGGTGAACAGAAGCTCTCAATTTAATCTTCCCTAAATTATTCATTATTTTGTACACTTATCACATCCTTACCTCTTATTTAGGGTAAAAACAAAAACACAAATTTTTTCAGGTTCTATTCACCTTGTTTCACTGTCAGCATGTGGCATTTAAGGAAAGATCAGCTAATAACATTGTTAGCAAACCTGGTCTCTTTACATTTTTATTTAACAAAAATAAATTAATAAAGCATTTAAGGTACATGTCTCAAGGTTTTCAGCTTTTCACTATTACTTTTAAGACTTTCAGAGGTTCAGTCTGACAGTTCTAAGAGTAATGAAGAAGAATGAACAAATGCATATTGTGTTTTGCCTACCCTTGTTTGGCCTCCAGAGCCGGTCCATCCCATGTCTCATTAACACTATCCTTGCCAGCTCAGTAAAAGACTCTGTGATGTTAAAGTTACAAAGTGGGCTAACTTCAAAAAAAGTCATGCCTAGTCTCTCGGCATAGGCTTGTGCTTGTTCAGTGGAGACTTGACGCTTGAAGGCTAAATGAAGGCGATTTCCAACCAGGATTTTAGGTACACCAGGAGCATGCTGAGTGAAGAGAAGCAATAACAGATTAGTGTTATAACCCTTCACCTCATCCTCCAATAAAATACTGTAAGCTTTTCACAAAGATTCAGAAACAATGCTGTACTCATGAAGCATGTCAAGTCGCAAGAGGATGTATGACATGATGGAAAAGTAAGCATACTTACTGTGACGTTGCACTCCATATGCTTTATGAAAATATGCTTATGAATGTGAATATGATGCAACTGGAATATGCTTTATGCAAATGGTCTCTTGTAAGGTATCATTACAAAGCTTATAATCTATTGAGTGTGTTCATCCTATCTATTTGCATGTATTATTTCTATGTCTGGAGTTAGGAGAATAAGATATAAACTTGTATTACTGATGTAACCAAATTAAGTGGAAGCCATTAAGGGTGCTTCAGAATCAATGACCTGTAAATGGCTCTGTTTACTTGCAAACCTTCCTGTGTATGTGTGGGCCAGCCCAGGAAGAATGGAGGCTGGGTCTCACAGTGACATGTGATTATGTCACATGATGCTGGAATCCATCTTAATCCTTGTACTTTTCCGTTGATGAGGCGGGGGTGGGGACAAGCACCCACAAGATTCCTGCCTGTGCCAAAGCTATAAGAGGGGGTGGGTGGAGCAGGACAAAAGAGGCTGCCAGTCATGAGAAAACCCCTGCTTACCACCTGAGATGTCTGCTGGAACGAACAAGGACTGTACCAGGGGAAAGGACTGGGCCCAGACTAGGAAGGAGTCTTGTCTGTGAAAGAAGCTTATTAGAACATCTTTGAGGGTGAGATAGTACCTGTAATCAGTTTCTAAATATATAAGGCTTAGACTTGTGTGTTTTATTTTATTTTGCTTTGTGACTTAGGGTATGTCTACACTTGCAGAGTTTTTGAGCTGTAAGTTTCACCGGTGATAGGGAACTGGTGAAAGAAAAGCACCGGTTTGTGTACTCACTTAATTCCTCAGGCATCAGCCGGGACAAAAGTAATTCCAGACACTTACTGATACAGGGCTGGGGCCGGTGCCTCAGGTGGAAGGGGCGGGGCTGGGGGTCAGCATCCCCCAGCCAGCCCTTCCAGGCTGCCTGGCCCGCACCGCCCAGGGCTCCAGTGGCGATTTAAAGGGCCCTACTGCAGCAGCAGTATCCAGAGCCCCGGGCCCTTTTAAATCGCCAGCCCTGGGGCAGCTGCACCCTTTGCCCCGCCCCCGCCCGTCGGCGGCTGAGGGGAGGCAAAAGGGGCAGGGACATTAAAGCGCTGCAGTGTCCTTTGCCGCAGCAGCACTTTAATGTTGCTGCAATCCCCCGCCATGCCCCCATCAGTGGCCCTCCTGGTAGGGGGGCCGCAGCAATGCTAACGCCGATGGGGGGTCGCAGCAATGCTAACGCGCTGCCACGGCAAAGGACCATCCTTAAAGCACTGCTGCGGCAGCACTTTAACGTCCCTGCCCCTTTGCCTCCCCTGTCAGTGGCCCTGCCAGTACGGACCCTACCAGCAGGGCCGCCGACGGGGGAGGCAAAAGGGTCAGGAAGATTAAAGCGCTGCCACGACAGGGCTTTAATGTGGACTGCGTATGGGCTGGTGCGGGTTCTTACCAGTATGCCGTACCGGCCCGGACCAGCTCACTTTCACCCCTGGGCGTCAGAGTTTTTACACTAGCAGCACTTCCGTCACCAATGAGAGCAACGCTGTAGGGCAGCTATCCCACAGTACAGCTCTCCAGAGGTCTTGTGGGAAGGGGGGGCTGAGCGGAAGGCATTCTGGGTCCCTGCTCAGTGCCCTGTGCTGCCCTGCTTCATGTCCCAGAAGCCCCATTACTTCCTTGTTTATTTCATGGCATTTTTTTAAAAAAACCCTGCTGTCTGGCTGCTTTCCCCACCATAAGCTACAAGCAAAAGGACAGGGACTTTTAAATATCCCGGGGCTTACAGCGGGAGGAGCAGATGTCCGTTTATCTGGCATCACAGCAGCGGAGATGCTGGCTAGAGTGGTCACTTTTGGAACTGTGGGATATCCTTCGGAGGTCAAAAGGTGTTTACGCTGGTAGAATGTGTCTTCACTTTCACAACAGCACAAAAAGAACAGCAGTAAGAGCTGTATGTCTCCCATGAAGGTGGTTTTCTTTTTGAGGTGAAACTCAGAAGTTTCACCGCAAAAAGTCATTAACAAGTGTAGATGCTCCCATGGTTTTAGTGCAAAAAAGGGACATTTTGCACTTTAAACGGCAAGTGTAGACATAGCCTAACTTTGTTCTGGCTGTTATTACTTGAAACCACTTAAATCGTACTTTTTATACTTAATAAAATCACTTTTGTTTATTAATAATCACTTACTCTGGGTTTAATACCTGGGGGAGCAAACAGCTGTGCATATCTCTCTAGCAGAGATATAGAGGGCGCACAATTTACAAATTTACCCTGTATAAGTTAATCCGTTTTATTCTGTATACATTTGGGGTTTGGATCCCACTGGGAGCTGGGTGTCTGGGTGCTGGAAACAGGTAACCTGATGAGCTATTTTTAGTTAACGTCTGCAGCTCTGGGGGCGTGGCCCAGACCTTGGGTCTGTGTTGCAGCCAGCTAGCGTGTCTGGTTCAACAAGGCATGGTTTTGGAGTTGCAAGCTGGCATGGAAAATGGGCTCTGAGGTAATTTCAGCACATCAAGTGACAGTCCAAAGGGGATCTCTGAGACTGAACCTGTCACACTCATATCTATAAGAGACTGGGTTGGGAGGAGAAATGAAGGGACTATGCTTAGTTCTTGGGAAATGGGGCGGTAGTTATTTTGTCCCATCCTTGAAACCCGTCTTTTCTCAAAGCTTCCTCATTCAGTTTATTACAGAGAACAAACATTATAAATGTTCATTGTTAAGCTGCTTCTTTAAAAAACATAAGTACTGTATCTTCATGGCTAAATTCAGGACAGAATGATCTCTTTTGGGGGTATATCGACATTGCAGAGAGGGTGTATGATTGCAGCACATGTAGGCATACCCAAGCTAGTTTTAATCTAGCTAGCTCATGTTCCAATAGCCATGAAGCTTCTTCAAGCCCACCTGGGACTCTGGGGTGGCTGGCCTTCACTGAAACCTGTGCTGCCACAGTTTCACTACTCTCAGTATTCAAGCTAGCTATCTTAAAGATAGCTCAGATTAGTGGAATACTGTGACATTTTTAGTCAGGCATGCAATTCTACACTTGCATGGAAAATGGCATTTCCTCTATTCGGCACTGGTGAGGCCACAACTGGAGTATTGCGTCCAGTTTTGGGCCCCCACTACAGAAAGGATGTGGACAAACTGGAGAGAGTCCAGCGGAGGGCAACAAAAATGATTAGAGGGCTGGGGCACATGATTTACGAGGAGAGGCTGGGGGAACTGGGCGTATTTAGTCTGCAGAAAAGACATGTGAGGGGGGATTTGATAGCAGCCTTCAACTACCTGAAGGGGGGGCATTTCCAAAGAGAATGGAGCTAGGCTGTTCTCAGTGGTGGCAGGTGACAGAACAAGATGCAATGGTCTCAAGTTGCAGTGGGGGAGGTCTAGGTTGGATATTAGGAAAAACTATTTCACTGTGAGAGTGGTGAAGCACTGGAATGGGTTACCTAGGGAAGCGGTGGAATCTCCATCCTTAGCGATTTTCAAGGTCAGGCTTGACAAAGCTCTGGCTGGGATGATTTAGTTGGGGTTGGTCCTGCTTTGAGCAGGGGGTTGGACTAGATGACCTCCTGAGGTCTCTTCCAACCCTTATCTTCTGTGATTCTACGACCCTCCATGTGGCGTGACCTCGCACAAAAGGTGCACACAAGGTTATGATGTGCGGAGGATACAATCTTGTTCAACATGGTGTCCTCCATGCACACTTGGGTGCCCGACAGAGGCATCCCTTGGGCACACCATGTCCTGGGACATGCAATGCATGCCTTGCATACACAGACAGCACGTCATGGCTCAGATATGTCAGATTAGATATTTTTCTAAAAAAAATGCTCTAGTTCAAACAGGAATTAATTCAGAGAAGTTCTATGACCTGTGTCATGCAGGAGGTCAAATGAGATGATCAAAGGAATCCCCTCTGGATTTAGAATATGTAACTCTATGAACTAGGAGTGTTGACAAATAGTATTATTATTACAGTATCAAAATCCCACATCACATGTGCGGGACCTTTTAGGTCCATTTTCCTCTTTTACAGAATATATATTTTCACATTATACAAGTAAACTGCTTTTAATTTAAGACAGTTTGCATGTATCAGAGAAGTAGTCACTTGCATTCAAAAATCCAAGATAGTCTTTTGAGATCTTTGGATTAAATGCACTATAACAGTGCTTAAGGCTTTATAAATAGTGACTTAAACCTCATAATCCCCATATGAGATGGGAAAGCATTTTTTTTCATAAGAGGAAACTGAGACAGAGGTAAAGTGATTTGCTTAGGTAACACAGAAAGTCTGTGGCAAAAGTGGTCACTGAATCTAGGAATCTTGATCTCCATCTCCATTTTCTTCATCTAGAATTGACATCTTTTTAAATAAGTGGGCAGTTCACTTGTTTGTTACAGTCTAAAAGTATAACAAAAATACAAGTCTGTCATCTTGGATTCCTGTAATGAATTCTGACTGCAGTTACACAGTATAAACCAGTAACTGGAAAACACCACGAGCAAAACACATGCTTAATCACTAATCTTGTTATACATAAGTGATGTTCTAGGATACATCTTACCTCATCTATCTCCTTTATCCATCGATCAATACCATCAAATGACCAGCGATTTGTAATGTCATATACCAGTATCACCCCCTATGTGAAAGAATATTAACATGAATATCACTTAACATATACAAAATGCATAATACATAGTACTACCTCACTCTATCACCATTCTATTATCTGTATCAGGATTATGGGGTTTACAATCCTGCCAGATGCTGCGTGCTCCCTGAGTGGAGTGGAATCTCACAGCATCTTCCAGAATCAGCACCTTTGTCCCGATCTAGAACTGGGAATGGAAGGGAGCATGGAGGGTGGGAAGCATTTAGCAACTTGCAGGATCAAACCCAGATTCATCAGTTTGTGGTCAATGTTAATTCAATTATAAAACCAAATTATGAACATGTTTGGGTGATGTATACATCACAAGTAACACAGACATATTGCTTCCAGTTACACTGTATAGTGTCCAAAAGCTAAGGGCCTCAAATTCTATGGAGATCCAAATACCTCACTAGCAGAAGTAATCAATGCACATTATCACTGTTTACAGCAATACTTTTAGGAGCCTACCCCATGTTTTCAACCTGCAGCTAATGAATTGATGTGTCAGAATGCAAAAACACTAAATATAATGTAGCTGCACAAACATCTGAGTCTGTGGTAATAAGTTTCAAAGTGGTAGCCATGTTAGTCTGTATCAGCAAAAACAACAAGGAGTCCTTGCTAATAAACTGGATTTATAATTTCCCCCAATTCTTGACTAAATTCCATTAACTATTTATCCTTCTAGTTACACAAAATTTGAGAAAGTTTAGCATATAAAGTCCACTTGGACATTTGCTTCTTAACTAAAACTCCCATTACTTCTAGCTTTTACTGCAGCCTCTATTCAGAGGTGTAATGATAAGTAGGACTGCATATGTCTGTAGAGCACATACATTCTGCTCCCTCTTTTGGTTGAGATGTAGTGGTTGCTAGAGGGCAGTATTAGGCATGTAATAATTCCTTAAGAGCTCCTCCCTTTCTTACTGTAGCTTCAGATTGTGGCATCTTGTTAGGCCTGATACTCTCCTTCTCAATGAAGACAGCAAAATTATGAGAACTAGGACATCAACATGAGCATGAAACTTACAAAAGTACTTTATTTATACAGCACATTTATTTATATATATATATTTTATAGCAGCCAAAGGTGGATCTGGCATTTTAGAAGAAACTCCCATTCTTCTGAAATATACAGCTCCAACCTCAAAGAACTTACAATCAAAGCCCTTAATCCTGCCAGGGGAACCGTGCAGGCAGAACTCTGCATCCAGATGGAGTCCCACTGATGTCAATGGGGACTCATCTGCATGGGTCTTGCAGGATCAGGCCCAAGTTTAGATTTTATTATCCTGGCTTGTTGCATCAACACTATGGAGTGGGGAGGAAGGCCAGTGTTTATAGCAATATGATCAGGCAGTGACTCAGGTCAGGCATATAAAAATCATGATGGTTCAATAGTAGTATTTTTTTAATTTATAATTATTATTTATTTGCCTTGTGGCTATTGTGGAAGGAGTGAGCCTTGGGGGATTTAAATGAGGAAAAGGTGGCAGATTAGAAGACCAGAAATGGAAGGGCATTCTATGGATGGGGCAGCACAGAGAGTGTTGGGGGGGAAGCAGATGAATGGTGCATCAAAACTGGCATTGAAGTTGTGGTAGGAGGGGCAATGTAGTGCAATAAAATATTTTGGATGGCCAGACAGACAGCTCAGAGCTATAGAGCTTTCTGGAGCTACAGCTACAGCTCACTTCATCTGCTCATGCTCAAATAAATTGGTTAGTCTCTAAGGTGCCACAAGGACTCCTTTTCTTTTTGCGAATACAGACTAACACGGCTGCTACTCTGAAAACTAAACAGAGAGAGTCTGAGGAAAAAAACAAAGATAAGTTAAAGCAGACTAAGGACCTGATTATCTCCTATAGCATAAAATCCTACGCAATATAATGACATTCTGCTACAGCAAGTCATACCTTCCCTTTTGGGATCAGTTTCCCCTCTTTTGGCATTAGCTAATCTTGTTTTGCATGCTATGCAAATTTACAATCTTCTTATAATTTCCCCTCTTTTAAGCACACGCTTAAATCCATTCCTATTCAACAAAGCACTTAAGCATGTGGTTAACTTTAAGCACATGCTTTACCGAATAGGGACGGACTGCTGAAATACAGTCTAGAAGTACAAGTCCCTAGTGCAGTGATTCTCAAACTTTTGTACTGGTGACCCCTTTCACATAGTAAGCCTCTAAGTGCGACCCCCCCAAATAATTAAAAACACTTTTTAATATATTTAACACCATTACAAATGCTGGTGGCAAAGCCAGGTTTGGGGTGGATGCTGACAGCTCACGACCCTCCATGTAATAACCTCGCAACCCCCTGAAGGGTACTGACCCCCAGTTTGAGAATCCCTGCCCTAATGCTTGAGCTAAAGGGAAAGTTACTTTAGCTTTGGGCAATAACAGACTATTGTAGTCACTGGGGCTTCCTGGGAGGAGTAAGACATAAGATTATGCATCAAGTCAGTGTATTACACTATCATTTCCTAAGTTTAGTCTTGTTCTTCATTTATTTAATAAGAAAGTAAAAGATACTGTCCCTTTCCTGAGATTGCTCTCATTTCTTTCCCCCCAGAAAACACTGTGTTGTATTCAGGAATATTACAGTATCTGTGTGCTAATTTACTTTATACAGTGAACTCTAAGAGCCAGTGTAATAAGGTTCACTACTCTTGTGATATGTCTTTACCAGCTCTACATTTATTCATCCATCCATCCACCAGCAATTATACATTACAATGAAGACAGCTTTGAGCTTACCTGAGCACCTCTTGAATAGGAACGAAATATGGTGCAGAATCTCCCTTGTCCTGATGTATCCCTAAACAAAATAAGTTTTTATTAAGAGAAGCAGGGCAACTTCTTACGTTAAGAGTTAAATATTAGCAATTTATACACACACCAGCTCATACTAACTGGACAGCATCAATCTCTTCCCATCTGTTAAGCAGTAGCAGTCACCAATACACATAAGAGCTTTTCAGCGCTCTGCAGTTATTTACACACTAACTTGCTTTCTGTGTTAGTGTTCTACCCCTTGCTCTAAAACAGGGGTTCTCAATCTTCATGGCACCATGACCCTCTTCCGATATCAAAAATTACTACACAACCCTAGGACGGGGGGCCTGAAGCCTGAGCCTGCCTGATCTCCACTGCCCTGGGTGGGAGGGCCAAAGCCCAACTCCATTACATCCATTCTGTGTTAGGCCATGTCTACACTATGAAAGTACTCCGATTTTACAGAATTTTTGGGAACACATCATATAAAGTCGAGTGCATGCGTCCACACTAAGCACATTAATTCGGTGGTGTGCATCCACAGTACCATGGCAAGCATTGACGTTCTGAGCAGGGAACTGTGGGTGGCTATCCCACAGTTCCCGCAGTCCCCACTGCCACTGGAATTCTGGGCTGAGCTCCCAATGCCTGATGGGGCCAAAAATCTGTCACGGGTGGTTATGGGTAAATGTCGTCAGTCAACCCTCCCTCCCTCCGTGAAAGCAACAGCAGACAATCATTTCGCACCCTTTTCCCTGGATTGCCCGAGCAGACGCCATAGCACAGCAAGCATGGAGCCCGTTCAGCTCACTGCAGCAGTTATAACCATGGTAAACACCTGGTGCATTATCATGCAGTTTATGCAGAACCAGCACCTGACAAACCAGGTGAGGAGGCGACGGCAGCGTGGTGATGAGGACATGAACACAGATTTATCTAAAACCACGGTCCCCAGAAATTGGGAGATCATGGTGTTACTGGGGCAGGCTCACGCCGTGGAACGCCGATTCTGGGCCTGGGAAACAAGCACAGACTGGTGTGACCGCATAGTGTTGCAGTTCTGGGATGATTCCCAGGGGCTCTGAAACTTTCACATGCATAAGGGCATTTTCATGGAACTTTGTGACTTACTTTCCCCTGCCCTGAAGCACAAGAATACCAAGATGAGAGCAGCCTTCACAGTTCACAAGTGAGTGGCAATAGCTCTCTGGAAGCTTGCAAAGCCAATCAGTCGGTAATCAATTTGGAGAGGGCAAATCTACTGTGGGGGTTGCTGTGACGCAAATAGTCAACACAATCATTGAGCTGCTGCTATCAAAGGTAGTGACTCTGGGAAATGTGCAGGTCATACTAGATGGCTTTGCTGCAATGGGATTCCCTAACTGTGGGGGGGCCAAAGATGGAACCCATATCCCTATCTTGGGACCGGACCACCAGGGCAGCCAGTACACAAACCGCAAGGGATACTTTTCAATGGTGCTGCAAGCACTGGTGGATCACAAGGGACATTTCACCAACATCAACGTGGGATGGTCGGGAAAGGTTCATGATGCTCGCTTCTTCAGGAACTCTGGTCTGTTTAAACAGCTGCAGGAAGGGATTTACTTCCCAGATCAGAAAATAACTGTTGGGGATGTTGAAATGCCTATAATTATCCTTGGGGACCCAGCCTACCCCTTAATGCCCTGGTTCATGAAGCCGTACACAGTCACCCTGGACAGTAGCAAGGAGCTGTTCAACTATAGGCTAAGCAAATGCAGAATGGTGGTAGAATGTGCATTTGGACGTTTAAAGGGTCACTGGCGCAGTTTACTGACTCGCTCAGACCTCAGCGAAACCAATATTCCCATTGTTATTGCTGCTTGCTGTGTGCTCCACAATCTCTGTGAGAGTAAGGGGGAGACGTTTATGGAGGGGTGGGAAGTTGATGTAAATCGCCTGGCCGCTGAATACGCGCAGCCAGACAGCAGGGCGTGCTGCACATCAGAGAATCTTTGAAAACCAGTTTCATGACTGGCCAGGGTACTGTGTGACACTTCTGTTTGTTTCTCCTTGATGAAAACCCGCCTCCTTGGTTGCCTCTAAATTCCATGTGAGCCAACCGCCCTCCCGCCTTCAATCACAGCTTGCTTGCAAAGGGAATAAAGTCACTGTCATTTACAAAACATGTATTCTTTATTAATTGATTATAAAAATAGGGAGATAACTCACAAGGTAGCCTGGGTGGGGTGTGGGAGGAGGGTAGGAGGGAAGGAAAAGTCCATTTTAAAACTTCTTGAATGACAGCCTTCTGTTTCTTGGGCTGTACATTGGGGTGGAGTGGTTGGGTGCCCGGAACCTCTCCCCCCGGCCCCACGTTCTTGGGTGTCTGGGTGAGGAGGCTATGGAACTTGGGGAAGAGAGAGGGTGGTTAAACAGGGGTTGCAGCGGCAGTCTGTGATCCTGCTGCCATTCATGAACCTCCACCAGATGCTGGAGCATGTCCGTTTGATCCTGCAGTAGCCCCAGCATTTCCTCATGCCTCCTCTGATCTTCCTGCCGCCACCTCTCCTCATGTTCATCGGCCACTTTCCTGTACTCTGCTATTGTGTCCCTCCACACACTCTGCTGAGCTCTGTCAGTGCAGGACTACTGCATGAGCTCAGAGAACATTTCATCACGCATGCGTTTTTTTCGCCGCCTTATCTGAGATAGCCTTTGGGACGGAGGAGGGAGGCTTGAAACATTTGCAGCTGCTGGAGGAAAAAAGGGAGTGAAGTATTTTAAAAGATACATTTTACAGAAAAATGGCTATAGTCTTTCAGGGTGAACAACACTATTCACATTACATAGCACATGTGATTTTGGTACAAGGTCGCATTTTGCATCTTATATTGAGTGCCTGCAGCTTTGGTGTTAGAGATCACACACGCAGGGCCGGGAAACAGAATTCGGCTTGCAGGCGGCCATGGTAAGCCATAGTCTTTCGGCTTCTGCAACCTTCATATCAGCAGCACCCTCCTCTCCCATACCAAGCAAAGCACGTTGAGTTGGCCATTTAGTGCTGTGGTTTTCCTGTTAACATGCGGCAGCAGAAACCAAACTAACCCCCCTCATACAATTCTCTGGCATGATCGCTTTACCCCTCCCCCCCACCACGTGGTTGGTATCAGGAAAGATCCCTGCTAGTCAAATGCAAACAGCTCAGTGCCAATGCCCGCCCTCTCCCGCCCCACTGCGTGGCTAACTGCGGGGAGGATTTCTTTTCAGCCCCAGGCAAACAGCCCAGTAGGAGCGGCCACCTCTGAATGTCCCCTTAATTAAATTCCCCTATTTCAAACAGGTTACCATGAACGATATCACTCTCCTGAGGATAACACAGAGAGATAAAGAACAGATGAATGCCAGCAAACACTGGGACCACACGCTGCCAGGCTTTGTCATGCAGTACCACCAGATTACTTGCTACTAGCATAGTGTGGTAAAGTGTCCTACCCTGGAGGACGGAATAAGGCTGCTCTACCCAGAAACCTTCTACAAAGGCTTTTAGAGTACCTCCAGGAGAGCTTCATGGAGATGTCCCTGGAGGATTTCCGCTCCATCCCCAGACATGTTAACAGACTTTTCCAGTAGCTGTAGTGGCCACGAATGCATCCCAAGTCCTCAGGGGAACTTAATCATTCAAAAACGCTTCCTTTTATAACATGTATTATATTTTAAAAGGTACACTCACCAGAGGTCCCTTCTCCGGCTTCGTTGGGTTGGGAGGGTATTTCAGTCAGGATGATAAAAAGATCCTGGCTGTTGGGGAGAATGGTGTGCTGTGTGCTCTCCTCAAGCTCGTCCTCCTCCTCATCATCTTCCCCGTCTGCAAAATCCTCTGGCATAGCGGAGAGTACCCCATCATCGGAGTCCACGGACAGGGGTGGGACAGTGGTGGCACCCCACCCCACCCCCCCAGAATTGCATGCAGCTCAGGGTAGAAGCAGCATGTCTGGGGCTCTGTCCTGGAGCGTCCGTTTGATTCTTTGGTTTTCTGGTACGCTTGTCTGAGCTCCTTAAGTGGCACTGTGTTGCGTCCCTGCTGTAGCCTCTGTCCCTCATGGTCTCGGAGATTTTTTGAAATGTTTTGACGTTTCGTCTTTTGGAATGTAGTTCTGATAGCACGGATTCCTCTCCCCATACAGTGATTAGATCCAGTACCTCCCGTTCGGTCCCTGCTGGAGCTCTTTTTCGATTCTGGGACTGCATGGTCACATGTGCTGATGAGCTCTGAATGGTCACCTGTGCTGATGAGCTCGCCTGGCCAAACGGGAAATGAGATTCAAAAGTTCCTGGGGCTTTTCCTGTACACCTGGCGTGGCCAGTGCATCCAAGTTCAGAGTGCTGTCCAGAGCGGTCACAACGGTGCACTGTGGGATAGCTCCCGGAGGCCAACACCTTCGAATTGCGCCCACACCAACCCTAATTTGAAACGGTGATGTCGATTTCAGCGCTAATCCCCTCGTTGGGGAGGAGTACAGAAATGGGTTTTAAGAGCCCTTTATGTCGAAAAAATGGCTTAGTTTTGTGGATGGGTGCAGGGTTAATTCGATGTAACCTGCTAAATCTGACATAAACTCATAGTGTAGACCAGGGTACTTATATTACCTCCCTCTCCGCATTACTGTAGTGTCTGAGCACCTTAGAATCTTTTGTTTATTTATCCTCCCAACACCTCATGAGGTCGGAAAGCATTATTATCCCCACTTCACAGATGGGGAAGTGCGGCAGAGAGCAACTAAGGTTACGTCTACAGTATGAAATTATTTCAAAATTATTCTATTCGAATTTTCAGAAGCTATTTTATACATTCGGTCTTCTGTGTCCCCACTAAAGCGCGTGAATTTAGCGGATTGCGTCCACGATACCAAGGCTAGCATTGAATGTCGGAGAGGTGCACTGTGGGTAGCATGCACATAGCTATGGCAGACAATTGTTTCGTGCCTTTTTGGCATGCAGACGCCATACTGCTTTCAGCAGATGGTGCACCGCTGCTCTCCTGCTACTATGAATCCACCTCTCCAGCTCAACTCTGCTCGGCTACTGTGAACCAAGCAGCACAGCTTCTGCCGCCAACTCTGCTCTCCTGCAATTGCCATGCTTCCGAGCTTCTCCATGTTGTCTGTCCTGGGTTCCCACCTCCCTGAAAGCCACAGAAGACAACCATTTTCAGCCTTTGTTCAGCTACCATGAACCAAACAGCATAGCTTCCCCTGCCACTCTAATCTCCTACGTTTTGCACCCTTTTTCCAGGATTACCCATGCAGGAACCATAGCCATGGAGCCCGATCAGATCTCCACTACAGTTTTGACCATTATAAATACCTCACACATTATCCCTATCTTGGCCCCGGAACACCGGGGCGGCCAGTACATAAACTGAAAGGGGTACTTTTCCATGGTGCTGCAAGCACTGGTGGATCACAAGGGACGTTTCACCAACATCAACGTGGGATGGCCGGGAAAGGTACATGACACTTACATCTTCAGGAACTCTGGTCTGTTTGAACAGCTGCAGGAAGGAACTTACTTCCCAGACCAGAAAATTACTGTTGGGGATGTTGAAATGCCTATAGTTATCCTTGGGGACCCAGCCTACCCCTTAATGCTATGGCTCATGAAGCCATACACAGGCACCCTGGACAGTAGTAAGGAGTAGTTCAACTATAGGCTGAGCAAGTGCAGAATGGTGGTAGAATGTGCATTTGGACGTTTGAAAGCGCGCGCTGGCGCAGTTTACTGACTCGGTTACATCTCAGCACAACCAGTATTCCAATTGTAATTGCTGCTTGTTGTGTGCTCCACGATATCTGTGAGAGTAAGGGGGAGACGTTTATGGCGGGGTGGGAGGTTGATGCAAATCGCCTGGCCGCTGAATACGCGCAGCCAGACACCAGGGCAGTTAGAAGAGCACAGCAGGAAGTGGTGCGCATCAGAGAAGCTTTGAAAACCAGTTTCATGACTGGGTAGGGTACGGTGTGAGAGTTGTATTTGTTTCTCTTAAAGTTACCCACCCCCTATATATATATGAAAGGAAATAAAGTCACAATTGTTTAAAAACCATTCTTTATTATTTGTTGCACAAAACATTGAGAGAAATCAGAAGCTAGATGGGGGAGGCTATTGGGTTAGGGGGGTGGAGGAGGAGGGAAGGACAAGTCCAGAAACCAAATCAAAATTTAGGATATGCCAGCTTTCTGCTGCTTGTGCAATCCTCTGGGGTTGACTGTGTTGGTCCCTGTAGCTTCCCCACCCCCACCCCATGTTCTTGGGCGTCTGGGTGAGAAGGCTATGGAACTTGGAGAGGAGGGAGGGCAGTTATTCAGGGGCTGCAGCAGCAGTCTGTGGTCTTGCTGCCTTTCCCACATTAGATCCACCATACAGCGGAGCATGTCAGTTTGCTCCCCCATAAGCTTGACCATAGCATCCTGCCTGCTCTCATCGAACACGTCCCTCCTCTCTTCGTATTCATGTAACGCATCACGCGACTCTGCAATTCTTTGCCTCCACATGTTCAACTGGGCCCTATCAGTGCGGGAGGACTACATGAGCTCGGCAAACATGTTGTCCCGAGTTCGCGCTGGGGACGGAGTAGATAGGGGCCACATTGAAACATTTGCGCCTGCTGCAGGAGGAGAAAAAGGGAGGGTAGCATTTTAAAAGATACATTTTAGAGAACAAAGGGGACACTGTTTCTCAGTGAAACAGGCAATTCATAGTACACAGCACATGTTCTTTCTGTACAAGGTCTCATTTTGCCTCTTATACTGAAGTGCCTGCCACTTTGGTGTGAGTAAGCCATCACATGCAGCCAGGCAACAGAATTCAGCTTGCAGGCAGCGGCCAGGCAACAGAATTCAGCCTGCGGGTTCTCTGGGATGATCGCTTCACACAACACCCTCCTCCCCCCGCACCACGGGGCTCCGATGAGGCTCTGAGCAGGGATGAGCCCTTTAAACTAAACGCGAACAGCCCAGAGCAGCTGGGTTTCCCCCCACCCCGCACGGCTCCAATCAAGCTGTCACTCACCAGAAGTGTCTTCTCCAGGGTCATGGTCCGGGAGCATGCTTTGGGAGTAGGGGGAGGCTATTGGCTCCAACGTTAAGAACAGTTCCTGGCTAGGGGGGAAAACAGATTCCCCACTTGCTGCCTTGTACTGTCCTCCTCCTCGTCATCCTCACTCCGTGCTACTCCCCCCTTGTAGGTGTCCACAGACAGTCGTGGGATAGTGGTGTCGTCACCCCCCATAATTGCATGCAGCTCACGGTAGAAGTGGCATGTATGGGGTTGTGACCCAGAGCGCCCGTTCACCTCCCTGGCTTTTTGGTACACATGCCTGAGCGCCTTGATTTTTGTACGACACTTTTCTGTGTCCCTGGAGTAGCCTCTTTCCGTCACGGCCCTAGAGACTTTAGCATACATATTTGCATTTCTTTTTTTGGAAAGTAGTTCTGCCATAACAGATTTGTCTCCCCAACATGCAATGAGATCCAGTACCTCCCGTTCAGACTGGGAGCTCGTCTGCAAATCCGGTACTACGTGGTCGTCTGTGATGGTGGACTGTGCTGATGGTCACTTGTGCTGATGGTGACCAAACAGGAAATTCAAAAGTTCCTGGTGCTTTTACTGCCTGCCTGGCTAGTGCATCAGAGTTCAGAGTGTTGTCCAGAGCGGTCACAAGGGAGCATTCTGGGATAGCTCCCAGAGGCCAATATCGTCGAATTGTGTCCACAGTACCTGTAACCCGGAACTGCGATCTTGATTTTAGCGCTACTCCACTTGCCGAGGTGGAGTACAGAAATCGGAGTAAAGACCCTTTAAATCGAAAAAACTGGTTTGGTCATGTGGACAGAACCAGTTTTATTTCGAGGTAACTCGGCTAATTCTGAAATAACCGCGTACTGTAGACCAGGCCAGGTTACAAAGGAAGCCTATGACGGAGCAGGGAATTGAATCCAGATTTCCCAAGTCCTAGGCTAGCGTCCTAACCACTAGACCATTCTTCATCGCTTTGCTAGGTACTTTCAGAGTGCAGAAGATATTACCTGCCTTGAAGAGTTACAGTCCACTGACTAATATTGTTTAAAAGGCACTGAGGAAGAACAATGGAACAAACACTTACCACAGCTGTAGCTTTATTCGACGGCCATCCAGAAGTATTGTCGTCGTCTTGTAATCAATACCTGGAAAATAAATTTTGTTTAGAGTTAGAATCTTAGACCTACAGAATTAAGTAGAGTCTGGATATTTATATCTTTAAAAGAAGTTAACAGCAAGGAAAAAATACTTCCATTAGTCCAATATGTATGGGTCAAACACATTCTGTGGATTTGAAGTTATGGAGACCTCTCAAAGCTTAGAAAAAAGTAGTCAGAAGTGGCTATGAGGCTGTGGGTGGCACTACAAAAACCCACCATAATGCAAGCTAGCATCAGTGCTCTGAAACACTGGGCTTGGGTACTACATCTACAAAGCACACAGTTAAGGACCTTAAAAAAAAAAGTCCCTAAAATACAACAGATCTTTCAAATTCAATTTTTAAACATTCTTTACAAATATGTAACAGTCTGACCACTGAGCCAAACCATGCAGTAGCACTGGTAAATGCACTTCTCAAGTGTCCTCTAAACGTTTGGCTTTGTTGTAGGTCAGTCATTTCCTATTTAATTCAACATGCTTATTCAAGAATTCCCCTAAATCAGTGACAAAGGTGGACACTAGCTCTGAGAACTTCATAAATATGAGTCAAGTCACATTCGGGTAAGACTAAAGATGATATATTTTATTACCTGAAGGCAAAGTACTAGGTAAGCAAAACAAAAGACTGAAAAGAAGGAAAAATGTGTTGCTGTGGAAAAAACAAACATTCAGGGAATAGGGTTTTATCACAGCTGAAATCTTCAGTTCAACTGAGATGAAGTGCATTCTCTATGAAGTTATATTACATATTTCTGATTTATAAAAGCCTACCTAGATACCATTTTGACCTGCTCTAACAGGTCAGAACCCTGGCTGTGCAAGACTATGTAGGAAAAATAAACTAAGGTATGAATTTAGCTTGTGTATACGAACAGCTAATAACAGAATCTGAACGTCTTTACAGTTAGCATTAGTCACTGTGATGTGACTTTTAGAATGAAAGGCAAAGGTTTTTGTTATGAATCAGAAACAGCATGAAACCATAACAATGAGACCAACAGATGTCAATTGTGTGGTTGTAGAAGTCTAATGTTCTTCTGAATGAATAATGTTCTTCTACGGAATAGCTTTGTCTGGCTTCAACTTTAAGAATATACAACCTGAAATCTATTTCTATGGAGTAGAAGGAAATGAATGAAGCTGTTAGAGCAAAGGGTACAGTTCGTGTCAAGAGCCTACTATTAGTGCAAGCAACAATAAGATAATTTGTTTCTTCAGCTTCCTATTACAGAATAAGGATTACAGAAGAGCTCTACATAATTTCTACTGAACCAATCTGCATTTATTAGAAGACAAGAAAATAAATCCTTTAACTCTGCTGGGAGCAATATCTAAGTTTTGGTTTTGCTTTTTTAAAGAACAACATTTTAATTTGTTGTAAGTTCTAAACTGTTATGGCTCTGGCCCAATTTGTGAAAGAATGTACTTGAACTCCAAGTCACACTTTGGAGTAATTATGCCTTATTAGTATTTACATTCGCAAAACAGTAAGAGAGTCTGGAACAGTAATTATAATATATCTGCGATGGAAAATTC